CTGGTTACGCACTAGGAGCAGTTCTGGAACAGGACGGCAAACCCATCGGTTTTCTCAGCCAAGTCATGAATCCTACGCAACAGCGATACTCGATCTACGATCAGGAACTCTTGGCGTTGGTCGTGGCACTGGACAAGTGGTCGCACCTGCTCCGGGTATCCAAGGTAACGGCCTACACTGATCATCAAGCTCTCACTCATCTCCAACGGCTCCGGGCATCGAAGCCTCTGCGCGGACGCACCGCCCGGTGGCTAGACTTTCTTGCGGAGTTCCCGGACTTGCACATCACGTATGTTCAAGGAGCGCGCAATCAAGTTGCCGATGCTCTGTCTCGCCGTCCCGGCCTCTCTCACGCCTGCTCGCACGACACACCATCGCCACCTCTGATGCTTGCAGTAGCACAAGCACGCGAGGCTCCCTGCACTCGTGGTCGGTCTGCCAACTACAGGGAGCTCGCCGGCCTTCGTTCACGACGGCCTCGACGGCGCAGCACACCGCCCGCACTTTCACCTGCGCTGCCAGAACCCAACCAAGAGGCAGCGAATCCTACACACACAACGCAGACACCAGCTGCCCCTCCTGATGTATGCCATTGGCCGCGCGCTTACTCGCAGTGTCCTATTTTTAGCGCTCCCTACAAGGCAGCAGCAAACCAACCAGGAGAAGCTCTGCAGCTCGAGTTTCGTAATCGACAATTCACCTTTCGCTACGTCGAGCCTTACCTGCATATCCGCGTTCATGGCCTGTGGCGCATCTGTGTTCCCCAATTCCCTGAATTCCTCACTCACGTTTTGTATTCCCTTCACGATCATGTCACAGCAGGCCACCGCGGACAGAAAAAGACCTTCGCGGCCCTCAGCAAGCTCTACTACTGGCCGGGAATGCGCGCTTACACCACTGCTTACGTTGAGTCCTGCACTCATTGTCGAGCGTCAAAGTATCTTAACCAGAAGCCTGCAGGCCTTCTTCAACAGCTGCTCATCCCTTCTCGTCGCTGGGCGCACGTGAGTCTCGACTTCATCACAGATCTTCCCCTTACAGCGACGGGACATGATTCCATCCTTGTCCTGGTCGACTCCCTCAGTAAGATTGCTCATTTCGTTCCTGCAGCGAAGTCATTCACAGCAGCAGACACAGTGGAGCTCCTAGCCGACCGTCTTATCCGCTATTACGGTTTCCCAGAAGTGCTTATATCGGATCGCGACCCCCGTTTCCAATCAGACCTTTGGAACCAGCTCTGTCGCCGCTTCAACATCAAACGGTGCATGTCCCCGTCCTACCATCCCCAAAGCGACGGCCAAACTGAACGGGTTAACCGCACACTGGAGCAGATGCTGCGTACATATATCAGATCTGATGAACGCGAGTGGGAGCGTTTGCTCCCAGCCTTGGAACTTGCCTACAACACAACAAGCCATTCATCCACTGAACTCTCTCCTTTCGAGGTCATGATTGGAGAAAACCCATTGACTGCTGCGGAACTTGATATCGTAGGCGCGTTAGCTCCTACGCTCACTCCTCCCATGACTAGGCTTTTCCGGCAGCTCTACGACAGAGCGCAGAGTCACATCCTGAAGGCGAAATGGCAGCAGAAGTATTACGCAGACACAAAGCGTCGAGCAGTGGAATATGCAGTGGGGGATAAGGTCTGGCTCAGCAGCAAGCACCTACCGCCTTTCAACAGCTGCCCTAAGCTCGAGCCCCGCTACCGCGGACCCTTCGAAGTCCTCCAACGCATAGGAACTGTTGCTTACCGTCTCGCTCTGCCTCCCACTTATGAATGCCATGGTGTTTTCCACGTTTCACAGCTAGTTCCCCACCGCCCCCGCCCTCCTGCTTTGGTTCCCTCGGCAGCCGACGCTGCCTGGCCTCCTATCCACGATGCAGCAGGCAATCCCACAGATGAATACGAAGTCGACTATATTATGGA